TGTTGAAGGTTGCAACTACACTACATTCACACTGTATTCTGTACATTACACCAGGGAATCTATAGCAGCTAGACGAACATCTTGAAGGTTGCAACTACACTACATTCACACTATAGTCTGTACATTACACCAGGGAGTCTATAGAAGCTAGACGAAAATGTTGAAGGTTGCAACTACACTACATTCACACTATAGTCTGTACATTACACCAGGGAGTCTGTAGAAACTAGACGAACATGTTGAAGGTTGCAACTACACGACATTCACACAATGTTCTGTACATTACATCAGGGAGTCTATAGCAGCTAGACGAACATGTTGAAGGTTGCGACTACACTACATTCACACTATAGTCTGTACATTACATCAGGGAGTCTATAGCAGCTAGACGGACATGTTGAAGGTTGCAACTACACTACATTCACACTATATTCTGTAAATTACACCAGGGAGTCTATAGAAGCTAGACGAACATGTTGACGGTTACAACTCACTACATTCACTATAGTCTGTACATTACATCAGGGAGTCTATAGCAGCTAGAGGGACATGTTGAAGGTTGCAACTACACTACATTCACACTATAGTCTGTACATTACACCAGGGAGTCTATAGAAACTAGACGAACATGTTGAAGGTTGCAACTACACTTCATTCACACTATAGTCTGTACATTACATCAGGGAGTCTATAGCAGGTAGACGAACATGTTGAAGGTTGCAACTACACGACATTCACACTATATTCTGTACATTACACCAAAGTGTCAGTAAGCTAGACGAACATGTTCAAGGTTGCAACTACACTACATTCACAATATATTCTGTACATTACATCAGGAAGTCCATAGAAGCTAGTCGAGCATGTTGAAGGTTGTAACTACACTACATTCACATTATATTCTGCACATTACACCCGGGAGTCTATAGAAGCTAGACAAACATGTTGAAGGTTGCAACTACACTACATTCACACTATATTCTGCACATTACACCAGGGAGTCTATAGAAGCTAGATGAACATGTTGAAGGTTGCAACTACACTACATTCACACTATATTCTGAACATTACACCAGGGAGTCAAAAGAAGCTAAACGGACATGTTGAAGGTTGCAACTACACTACATTCACACTATATTCTCTACATTACACCCGGGAGTCTATAGCAGCTAGACGAACATGTTGAAGGTTGCAACTACACTACATTCACACTATAGTCTGTACATTACATCAGGGAGTCTATAGAAGATAGACGAACATGTTGAAGGTTGCAACTACACTACATTCACACTATATTCTGTACATTACACCAGGGAGTCTATAGAAGCTAGTCGAACATGTTGAAGGTTGCATCTACACTACATTCACACTATATTCTGTATATTACATCAGGGAGTCTATAGAAGATAGACGAACATGTTGAAGGTTGCAACTACACTATATTCACACAATAGTCTGTACATTACATCAGGGAGTCTATAGAAGATAGACGAACATGTTGAAGGTTGCAACTACACTATATTCACACTATATTCTGTACATTACACCAAGGAGTCTATAGAAGCTAGTCGAACATGTTGAAGGTTGCAACTACACTACATTTACATTATATTCTGTACATTACACCAGGGCGTTTATACAAGCTAGACGAACATGTTGAAGGTTGCAACTACACTACATTCACAGTATATTCTGTACATTACACAAGGGATCCTATGGAAGCTAGACGAACATCTTGAAGGTTGCGACTACACTACATTCAAACTATAGTCTGTACATTACACCAAGGAGTTTATAGCAGCTAGACGGACATGTTGAAGGTTGCAACTACACGACATTCACACTATATTCTGTACATTACACCAGGGAGTCTATGGAAGCTAGACGAACATGTTGAAGGTTGCAACTACACTACATTCACACTATAGTCTGTACATTACACCCGGGAGTCTATAGAAACTAGACGAACATGTTGAAGGTTGCAACTACACTACATTCACACTATAGTCTGTACATTACACCCGGGAGTCTATAGAAGCTAGACGAACATCTTGAAGGTTGCAACTACACGACATTCACACTATATTCTGTACATTACACCCGGGAGTCTATAGAAGCTAGACGAACATCTTGAAGGTTGCAACTACACTACATTCACACTATAGTCTGTACATTACACCAGGGAGTCTATGGAAGCTAGACGAGCATGTTGAAGGTTGCAACTACACTACATTCACACTATAGTCTGTACATTACATCAGGGAGTCTCTAGAAGCTAGACGAACATGTTGAAGGTTGCAACTACACTACATTCACACTATATTCTGTACATTACACCAGGGAGTCAATAGAAGCTAGACGAGCATGTTGAAGGTTGCAACTACACTACATTCACACTATAGTCTGTACATTACACCAGGGAGTCTATAGAAGCTACACGAGCTTGTTGAAGGTTGCAACTACACTACATTCACACAATAGTCTGTACATTACATCAGGGAGTCTATAGAAGCTAGTCGAACATGTTGAAGGTTGCAACTACACTACATTCACACTATAGTCTGGACATTACACCAGGGAGTCTATAGAAGCTAGTCGAGCATGTTGAAGGTTGCAACAACACTACATTCACACTATAGTCTGTACATTACACCCTGGAGCCTATAGAAGCTAGACAAGCATGTTGAAGGTTGCAACTTCATTACATTCACACTAAATTCTGTACATTACACAAGGGAGTCTATAGAAGCTACACGAACATGTTGAAGGTTGCAACTACACTACATTCACACTATATTCTTTACATTACACCCGGGAGTCTATAGCAGCTAGAAGAACATGTTGAAGGTTTCAACTACACTACATTCACACTATATTCCTCTATATTACATCAGGGAGTCTATAGAAGCTAGACGAACATGTTGAAGGTTTCAACTACACTACATTCACACTATATTCTGTACATTACACCAGGGAGTCTATAGAAGCTAGACGAACATGTTGAAGGTTGCAACTACACTACATTCACACTATATTCCCTACTTTACACTAGGGAGTCTATAGAAGCTAGACGAACAGGTTGAAGGTTGCAACTACACTACATTCACTCTATATTCTGTACATTACACCAGGGAGTCTATAGAAGCTAGAAGAACATGTTGAAGGTTTCAACTACACTACATTCACACTATATTCTGTACATTACACCAGGGAGTCTATAGAAGCTAGACGAACATGTTGAAGGTTGAAACTACACTACATTCACACTATATTCCTCTATATTACATCAGGGAGTCTATAGAAGCTAGACGGACATTTTGAAGGTTGCAACTGCACTACATTCACACTATATTCTGTACATTACACCCGAGAGTCTATCAGCTAGACGAACTTGTTGAAGGTTGCAACTACACTACATTCACACTATATTCTGTACATTACACCCGGGAGTCTATAGAAGCTAGACGAACATGTTGAAGGCTGCAACTACACTACATTCACACTATTGTCTGTACATTACACCAGGGAGTCTTTAGAAGCTAGACGAACATGTTGAAGGCTGCAACTACACTACTTTTACAATATATTCTGTACATTATACCAGGGAGTCTGTAGAAGCTAGACGAACATGTTGAAGGTTGCAACTACACTACATTCACACTATATTCTGTACATTACACAAGGGATCCTATGGAAGCTAGACGAACATCTTGAAGGTTGCGACTACACTACATTCACACTATAGTCTGTACATTACACCAGGGAGTCTATAGAAGCTACACGAGCTTGTTGAAGGTTGCAACTACACTACATTCACACAATAGTCTGTACATTACATCAGGGAGTCTATAGAAGCTAGTCGAACATGTTGAAGGTTGCAACTACACTACATTCACACTATAGTCTGGACATTACACCAGGGAGTCTATAGAAGCTAGTCGAGCATGTTGAAGGTTGCAACAACACTACATTCACACTATAGTCTGTACATTACACCCTGGAGCCTATAGAAGCTAGACAAGCATGTTGAAGGTTGCAACTTCATTACATTCACACTAAATTCTGTACATTACACAAGGGAGTCTATAGAAGCTACACGAACATGTTGAAGGTTGCAACTACACTACATTCACACTATATTCTTTACATTACACCCGGGAGTCTGTAGCAGCTAGAAGAACATGTTGAAGGTTTCAACTACACTACATTCACACTATATTCCTCTATATTACATCAGGGAGTCTATAGAAGCTAGACGAACATGTTGAAGGTTTCAACTACACTACATTCACACTATATTCTGTACATTACACCAGGGAGTCTATAGAAGCTAGACGAACATGTTGAAGGTTGCAACTACACTACATTCACACTATATTCCCTACTTTACACTAGGGAGTCTATAGAAGCTAGACGAACAGGTTGAAGGTTTCAACTACACTACATTCACACTATATTCTGTACATTACACCAGGGAGTCTATAGAAGCTAGACGAACATGTTGAAGGTTGAAACTACACTACATTCACACTATATTCCTCTATATTACATCAGGGAGTCTATAGAAGCTAGACGGACATTTTGAAGGTTGCAACTGCACTACATTCACACTATATTCTGTACATTACACCCGAGAGTCTATCAGCTAGACGAACTTGTTGAAGGTTGCAACTACACTACATTCACACTATATTCTGTACATTACACCCGGGAGTCTATAGAAGCTAGACGAACATGTTGAAGGCTGCAACTACACTACATTCACACTATTGTCTGTACATTACACCAGGGAGTCTTTAGAAGCTAGACGAACATGTTGAAGGCTGCAACTACACTACTTTTACAATATATTCTGTACATTATACCAGGGAGTCTGTAGAAGCTAGACGAACATGTTGAAGGTTGCAACTACACTACATTCACACTATATTCTGTACATTACATCAGGGAGTCTATAGAAGCTAGACGGACATGTTGAAGTACATCTGTAGATCCCCTCACTGCTGCTTTTGAAGTGGTGTGTCACCTGTATTATTCTGTATATTCACATCAGCTCCAGCCTTCAGTAATACATCAATACAATCTGTAGATCCCCTCACTGCTGCTTTATGAAGTGGCGTGTCACCTGTATTATTCTGTACATTCACATCAGCCCCGGCAATCAGTAACCCTTCAACACCCTCTGTAGATCCCCACCCTGCTCCTGCTGCTGCTGCATGAAGTGGTGTGTCACCTGTATTATTCAGTACATTCACATTAGCCCCGGACAACAGTAACATTTCAACATAGTCTGCAGATCCCCACCATGCTGCTGCTGCTGCTGCTGCATGAAGTGGCGTGTCACCTGTATTATTCTGTACATTCACATTAACCCCGGCCTTCAGTAACACTTCAACAGACTCCCCAGATCCCCACCCTTCTTCTGCTGCTGCTGCATGAAGTGGCGTGTCACCTCTATTATTCCGTACATTCACATCAGCCCCAGCCTTCAGTAACTCTTCAACAAACTCTGCAGTTCCCCACCCTGCTGCTGCTGCTGCTGCATGAAGTGGCGTGTCACCTGTAGTATTCTGTACATTCACATCAGCCCCGGCCTTCAGTAACGCTTCAACACAGTTTGTAGATTCCCTTACTGCTGCATTATGAGGTTCCGTGTCACCTGTAGTATTCTGTACATTCACATCAGCCCCGGCCTTCAGTAACTCTTCAACATTCTCTGTAGATTCCATCACTACTGCATTATGAAGTGGCGTGTCACCTGTAGTATTCGGTACATTCACATCAGCCCCGGCCTTCAGTAACTCTTCAACATTCTCTGTAGATTCCCTCACTACTGCATTATGAAGTGGCGTGTCACCTGTAGTATTCTGTACATTCACATCAGCCCCGGCCTTCAGTAACTCTTCAACATTCTCTGTAGATCCAAACAATGCTGCTGCATGAAGTGGTGTGTCACCTGTATTATTCTGTACATTCACATCAGCCCCGGCCTTCAGTAATTCTTCAACATTCTCTGTACAATCCCTCACTACTGCATTATGAAGTGGCGTGTCACCTGTAGTATTCTGTACATTCACATCAGCCCCGGCCTTCAGTAACTCTTCAACATTCTCTGTAGATTCCATCACTACTGCATTATGAAGTGGCGTGTCACCTGTAGTATTCGGTACATTCACATCAGCCCCGGCCTTCAGTAACTCTTCAACATTCTCTGTAGATTCCATCACTACTGCATTATGAAGTGGCGTGTCACCTGTAGTATTCGGTACATTCACATCAGCCCCGGCCTTCAGTAATTCTTCAACATTCTCTGTAGATCCCCACACTGCTGCATTATGAAGTGGCGTGTCACCTGTATTGTTCTGTACATTCATATCAGCCCCTGCCTTCAGTAACTCTTCAACACACTCTGTAGATCTAAAGAATTCATCTGCTGCTGTATGAAGTGGTGTGTCACCTGTATTATTCTGTACATTCACATCAGCCTCGGCCTTCAGTAAGACATTGACACACACTGTATATCCCTGATGTGCTGCTGTATGAAGTGGTGAGTCACCTGTATCAGATGAAAGTTGATTCACACTTGCTCCTTTCGCCAGCAGAAATGACATAACATCTGACTGTCGTCTACATGAGCTGTGAAGAGGAGTTTCTCCATTAGATGACATCATGTCAACAGTAGCACCCTTCTCAAATAACATTTTGACCATAGTCAAGTTCCCCACCTCACAAGCACTGTTTACAACATCACCATCAACCTGTGCTCCTCTGTCTAAAAGAAAGTCTAGCATGTCCTTGTTCTGGCTCATAGAAGCAAATCTAAGACCTTTCTGGTTATCCAGATCAAATCCTGTTTTCACCAGCAGTTTCACCACCCCTAAGTGACCATTTTGTATGGCAAGGTACAAAGGGTCACCATTTACACGATGCACATTGACATCCACACCAGTGTTAATTGCTTTTTCCACGGCTGATGTAAGGCCATACTTGCAAAGGTAATGAAAGACAGTATCTCCTAGTTTATTGCATGCATTCAGGTCAGGGGCAAGGGCCAGAATCTGATCGACAAACTCACTGTTTTTGGTTTCTGCTGCTAACATGATCGGAGTTACATTAAGCCGACCATATCTAGCATCCATGTCAAGCTTCATGTGTTCACTGATGTAGGTCAATACACTACAAGCAGCATTCTTGCACACCCCAAGTAAAATGTCACGCATTTCACTTTGGCTGAATGATATGTTTTCTTTCTCCATAATAAATTTGATTAGATGATGTGACTTGTTGCTTGAAAGCAATTTCAAAAATGAATGTGACTCGTCTCTTATAACGTATTGTCTTGAAGAATTATCAACTAGTTTCAGAAGATCAGGAACAGACATGTGACAGTTTGTCTTCAGACAGTCCATGAGCAAGTCAATAAACTCTGAATTACAACATGCCTGGTGCGATAAGACATGCAACAAATTGCGTCTCTCAATTTCAGTTGCAAATCTTCTGGCTAAATGTCCAGCAAAGGTCCATGAGATATTTGCAACAAGACCTGTCTCACTAGGAACATTTTCCCCTTGTCTTGTGAATGGTTTAATACGAAGTCGCTGATGGATGAATGACAAACTACAACTTTCGATGACAAACTTTGATTGTTTTGTACTGAGTATTAAAGCAACACTGTCATATATAGAGGGATGGTCAAACATGTATGTGTCATCTTCCTTCTTGAGATAAGATCCAACCAAATCATCAGCAGCTGTTATGCTTTCATACGCAAGATTATCATCATCCTCCAACTCCTGTCCACTAACCTTCCCATCTCTTTTAATCATAGCCATGAACAGTGAACGCTTTATCTTATCCTTAAGAAATTTATACAAAGTCTTTCTGAGGAACACAAGAGGCATTTTTAAAAAATCTAAAATAGTCTCTGCTGAAGGTTGCGTCTGATCCTTTCCATATGTTGCGACAAACATTTTACATATATGGGGAAAGCCGTGTGGACAGTCCGCCTGACATATCTGAGACACAGTTGACTCATCAAAGTCCATCTTTGTCTTTGTTTTGACATGAACATGCCAAATCTTTCTTCGTTCACAAGAGTCTCTCAGAGAAGAAACTTCCACCACATACAGGGGACTAGATATGTAATCTGCCATCTTTCCCAAGTCTGACAATGAGGATTTCAACACATAATCACGGCCTACGAGGATAATGATAGTTTGGTCTTTGTTAGGCGCCGTTCTTTTCAGCTCTGTTTGCTCATCTTTTGTTCGCTTTGAAGCATTTTCAATATTAGTGGACTTGTCTATGGAATCTTTTTCTGTATATTTATCAGGATCTTTCACATCCACAAAAGGTTGTAGACTTGGTCTCCACTTGGCCCATTCTGCTACATCAAATTCCAGATCACCAAATATGTCATCTAACATAATGACAGGGTTAGTGCTGGCCGTTATGACCTCATTGAACTCCTCCGGTGACACCACCTGATACACTTGTCTCCCCTGAGTGTGCTGATCTTTGAGAGCCATGTAGGCTATTGTAGACTTCCCCTCTCCTGGTCTTCCTTTAATTGTCACCCATGTTGCTCCTCTGTCTAGCTTGTCTGTCACCTTCTGCAGGCCTTCTGTCTCCACCATGTCTTTAGTCCACGACTGTATCCTGGATTCTGTTCTTTCTGTAAAAACAGGGCTTTATATTTGACTATATTAAAAAATCTGTGTTAAAGTTAACAATCTTATTATTATAATAATTTATTCTCAGTTAAAGGAACGTATTGTAGCCATCATCAAATGCGGTTTGACTCTGAGCATCCTTATGTTGACATGTGACCTGCGAACACTATCAAACTGATCAAACTGAAACATGTTTTCTCACAGCATTTCTCATTTCTGTGTAAGTTATTGTTCTAAACGAGATCAGACAGTTTACGAAAGTAAGTAGATAACTCACTCCTGATCTTCTGTGCTGAAGTCAGTTGTTTCTCCTCTTCCTGGTTGGTCCGAGGTGCACCATCGTCCTGTGTTCCTCTAATGTTCTGGGTTCCGCCAAAGTTCAGATTCCTGGCGCCCCTGACTGTCACATCCCCAAAATTCTGCCGTACGTAGAAATAGTTGTACTGGACAACTGAAACAGAAACTGGGACTGAAGCCCTCACAGATGTCTCTATATTTGAACCTAGATATCTCTATAGACAACGATCATGAAGAGAGGCATACTACTTCATATTAGTCATTATATTTCCATTAAAGGTCTCATTACGTTTTCTAAAATGGCTAACCTGAAATAGAGCAGAGCTTACAACTCTCTGATCAGTCCGGGTGAGTTTGTATTGAGGCTGTATACGGTTACAGACACCCTGCCCAAAAATGTAGGCATAGATGCCACAGGATATTCCCTAAAAAGCGTCATTTGTAATTATCCTATTGTAAGTATTAGAAATCTGAACCATTAGTCATGTGAGTGTACCATGTAACAGCGCTCACCTGCGGGAGAATGCACAGGCACTGGTACCCCAGGTGGCCCTGATGACTGTATCTCTGATACAACAGATCCTGGTATTCTGGGAAGAAGGGAGGATGTGGACGCTGGTGTCAGTGCTGCTGTTCTCGGGACTTGTGCAATCGTTGTTTCGGGGACTACACAAGGCGTAGTTGTTGACAATTGTGCCTGACTTGTTGTCTGATCAACATCGTCAGCTGGCTGGAGTTGTGTCCCCTGCTGTGGTGCTGACACAACCTCTCCCTGTGGTTGCTGACAACATCCCACAATGTGTTGTGCTACTGCCGTGGTGTCTATGATGGGAACAAACATGGCTATTATCCATTCGGATTAGTTTCAGGAAAACCTTATGGTTACTCAGCCAATGGCCTGTTCTGACCAACATCTTTGTATCTTAGCATGTTGCAATAAAACACTGTTTTGGTTGTTTCCTAATTGGCGAAGATTACAGTTGGATCGCAATGAAAATTTAGAGGACAGTTTTTGAAAAGAAATGTGATCAATTCATAGTTTAACTTCCGATGACATTATGGCAAGAGCGACTGGGAGTCAACTATGGATTTTGATTAAGATGATTACTTGACATGGCTATTCATATTGTGTTTCCATTATTGTGAGGCAGTATAGCCACAATGCTCTGTGGCTCACCTGAATTATGACGAAATAATTTAATGCCACTTCAGCCTATTAGTGTTATATCACATGTATGAGTACATCTTCCCGAGGAAAGGGAGTTAACTGACTCTGAAGTCCAGTTTCCAACCTGTCAGTACTTGGGTACGATTACTGTGCTCAATCTTAGCGCCACCAGTGGCTAATACGAGTTATGTCCCTTCTATGACCCTCCTATTGACCAATCAGATTCTCATATCACTTGCATTTGCTTCGAACAAAATGGCTGCACCAGTTCTGATCAGTGAACAAGATATATTGAAATAAAATGGGCCTTGCCTCGCGAAGTGCATCAAATCACCAAATCAAGTGAACACCTTGATTAAAAACTTCAAAAGATTTGGAAAATATCTGTCGACGCCCAGTTGACGGTACACATCATGCACTTGTCAAAAATGTGCACGTTGAAATCAGTGTTGTTTACGAACTGCATATCAATTTCGTTATGCGTATTTAATTACAATGTGCCAGTCCAGCCAAAATATAACTCCAATATTCCAGTCTAGTTCGGCAAGGGTGGCAACTGGACTTAGCTTTCTCCCTTGCCTCGGGAAGATGATATGAGCATAAATAAATAGCCTGAAATGCACTGCTTTCTTTTATTTTGCATTGGCTCGTTTTGTAACTTGTGTTGGCTCTTTCTGAAACAACAGGAGCCAAGTGACCGAGGAAAAACTCGAACTTGTTGCTGTCAAGAGGGCATCATTACCTAGCCTTACTTCCTGTAAGCATACATACCTTTACCTACAAGTTGGTACGACTGTTGTTGAACCGTCTGGAATTTGACCTTTGTAGCACATGCTCCAAGTTCATACATATCTTCGATTTTATCTCCCTCTTCTTCATCTGTCATGTCACCAAACAAACATTCGTCAGCACTCTCTTCATCAACATCTTTATTTCCTGCATCCTCCACAGTACTGCCTGATCCATCAGTGGTTCCAGGCGGGTTGTCCTCATCATTGCTTTTCCTCCTGCAATTTGCTGGTGTACATTCTTCACTGTCTGTGTCACTTTGACCTTTCTCCATCTCGGCCATATTCAACCACTGAATATATCGTTCTAATCTCTATCTTTGAAGATTCTTCACTACTTCCTGTCTTTCATGAGGGTCTTCAATCTAAGTTGGCACCAAACTCGTCATCATCATCCTACAACAAAATCGCCTAATGTGTACAACGTCTGTCTGCAGGACAGTCCTACATTTTCCGCCACAGCACTGTAGCACACCTGGATAAGGAGTCAAGTCAATGTTACCTTTCAGTATTGTGGAAGTGCGAAGGTAAAATCAAGGTAAAAAGGAGCACATATGTTGAACCCCATTTACTACACATATACCAGATTTCATTACATTTAGATAATGACCACGTAACTACCATAAAAAGCATTTCTCCAAATAGCCTCCGTCGTGTTTAAAAGATTCCACAGAGGCAGATGGGGGCGCCGTTGGACGCCATAGACACAACATATTAAAGCACACTTGAATTTCAGAAAAGCATATGAAGCAATATATTAAGGCTTACACATCGTTGTACACCTTGTGACTGTAGGATTCAGTTTATAAACATGTCATCATTATATTTCGTGAGGTGCTGTTTCAGAAATACATTTCATGTTTACATGTCATATTAATCAAGGAGAAACAAGGTTTACTGTCAAAACAAACTCCCCGCAAAGAACAAGGGTCTACATGTCAAAACTTCACCAGTTGATTATAAAATAAGCATTAATCGTTACTTGATTTAAAGGTTCATTAATGTTATGTAAGTTCCTGTATGCAAATGTTGCAGGAGTACCGGTATCTTTGATGCAACAATGTCCTCGCACTGAAACATGAAAGTTGGGCCTACCTTTAGAATTCTGGCGATCGTAGCTCCAATACATTACGATAGCCTGACGATAGACGGAGTGAGAAAAATCGTAGCCCCCATACATTAAGATAGACTTACTGTAGTCAGAGCGCGAAAATCGTAGCTCCAATGCATAACAATAGCATTACGAGAGTCGGAGCGAGAAAAATCGTAGCCCCCATACATTAAGATAGACTTACTGTAGTCAGAGCGCGAAAATCGTAGCTCCAATACATTACGATAGCCTTACGATAGTCGGAGCGCGAAAATCGTAGCTCCCATACATTAACATAGACTTACGACAGTCGTTGGGCTAAGATAGCTTTGTGAAACTTGACCCGGGGGCAACAAAGTTAACAAACACGTGACAAAACCCTATGATGTTCTATCCCTGTCATACCTAGATAACAGAAGATGAGTTTTCAAGTTCAGTGCCAACGGTCGGATGATGGACGCCAGCCATAACATAACCTCATTTTGATGATATTGAAAGGTTGTATAAGGAATCAGGTGTTTTGTCACAACTTAATCTAGACCGTTTGGGCGTTGGCAGCTCACTTGTGTCTACCGTAATACGAGCTCTGTGGTGTGAGACGATGGCAAAATGAAACTTTGTACACTCTTTACAACATGAGGCGATCTTTGTGAGTGAAAGAAATCCACCCTTAAACACGTCGACGGTTATTTGTGTTTTGAAATCATGCATGATATCATTTCTGAGTATGCCCTCTCACATTCAGTTGAATGATTTACTTCTCGAGATCTCCAAAGCGAACCGAACAAACCGAATGTACTTGCTTCAGTCATGTTTTTTATTAGAGGCAAATTGAAGAAAAATCTCGCGTTTTTTCTTACAGATCAGTTTTAAAATACTTATTGCAAGCTCAATTAGACTAGAGGCCAGTGCATAGCGAGGCGTAGATTACAACATAAATGCTTCTTTTGTATGAAGCAATCATTCTTCAACCCAGAGTTCGATGCGGCCAGCCTAGTAGCTCTGTCACATCCTACACAGTCCATTCACCTGTTTTCCATTCATTTGTTTCATTTTGGATGAGTCTACAGATTTAGAAAAAGATATATCATGAACTGTTCCAATTTCATTAAGAATATATCCCAAAACGTTCAATATTATTTTCATTTGCGTATTTATCCTCCATGGATGTGCTGTCATCTAAACCATATTGGTCACCTATCAGTTATCGCCACTCTTCCCTTGTTCTTTCCACTATTTTGATTCCCGATCGTCGCGTTATAACAGAATACAAATCTCCCGTCGACCAACTGAACGAGTTATAGCCATCGTCTTAACAGCACGTGTCATGTGACCACCTGCACCACCATCAGCCCTACAGTCCGGCATGTAACTGATACACCCTGACACCCTGCTGTTAACCTCCCTGTGCCGCTGCAGATGTGCAATAGATGCGCAGACATTCAACTGGCCATTCTCGTAACCATGTGAACAATATTACATAATATCCTGGGTTGATTCCCTTAGCCGTGATTTCTCCGACTGCGACCAGTGACAATCCAATACAAGAATGGCAGATTGCAATGATTTTTATCTGATCTCTCCTTAGTACATGTCAGTTGACTGCTAAGTTTACAAACCAATACAAAATACTGCACAGCAATTACAATGACAGTATGCAATAGAGTAGTAGTACAATATTCAATATCAGTATCAATGCAAAATATGATGGTGGTGATAATAATGTACACCTATCTGCAACAGTGGTCAAGCTTCCGAGATAGGCTCAGGCTTAACACAAGGGTGAAAAGTGTTGTTCATATGGAAACTGGTCTTGATGTAATGTCAGATGAAATGTGTGATACAACTAGATCCCAGCACATTCCACACACTGTTTGACAAGTCCAGTGTCACCAGAATATCACATAATATTCTACATGTTTCGATAACGCTTGACATCCATCCTATTCCAGAATTTTACAGATAAATCGAGCATCTAAATATGATAACTTCAACACCACTACTTTGAATACATAATATTACATTCCTGACAACTAAACATTGTCCAAATACAAAGCAATGACCTTCTACTGAATCTCAACAGAAACAATGTAATACAGTTACAATCATTGTCTAACAATCGGCTACATCGCTTAAAAAAACAGGAGTCTTTGTTGTTGTTTTGTTCTTCTTAGGAAAACGAGCAAACATAAAACGATATGCGATCACGTGCGCGTTGGCAGTGTTGCGGTTGTAGGATGTCGATATAATTATGTAAAACAATACGCTTCAGAACAGTCCAAGTACTGAACCTCTATATTTTCTGCTGTTATTCGTCATTCTGTAATAAACAAGAATACTGAAACTAGTTTCGTTTTGTTTCGTTTTAGTTCAGTCATCTTCGCCGAGTTGGGAGTCTTATGTCAGAATACACACTGTCCCATTCCTTCTCAAATTCAACCAGACATTGAAGAGTGATACAATGAGGTATACAAACAAACACAGTACCGTGGACACTTACTTACTGTGTTGTATGATGGAGAATTGTGTGGACGAAACCAGACTCAAGACCCTCTACAAGGAAGCTGGAAAAACCCGTGCTAAATATAACTGGTTATAAGCTCCTCACACTCGTGTAGAATAGCAGAAGCAAGCTCCACCGCAGCGCTAGCATGCCTCGCTAAGTAACACGAGCGCCACCCGACGGCAAGGCGAAAACTGGTTCTCCAGGTGGTACGCGACGCAAGCTCATGCAGATTAAGCTGGGCCCCGTCTCCAATATCACAATTGCAAGTTGACGAAGCGCATAGGGAGCCGGGAACCAGCTTACATGCAGATTGGCTTGTACTTTGGCCAATGCAAAGTACGAGTCTTTTTCCAGTCATGGGACGTAGCTCAGTCTGGCTTAACATGAAGCTGTGAGAAATGAATACAAATCCGTGTAATGAATAGGGGTACCAGCTCTATTAGCTTTCTATTAGCACCAGATATAAAACGGGCCTTTCTTCTCATGTAGGAAAGCGCACGATAACTATCCAACAGTAAGTAAGTTATGCATACTTGTTTTGGTCTCATAGCATGTCATAGTGTCCATTCTGTAGACACCAGCTGCAGAATAGTGTGTAGGCACTACACCGTGTACGTATAGGACTGTCATTATCGTTGTACATGTATCTTCATAAATCCTTCAGTTTCAAGGGTTTTTTTCAGGCATGAGATCTTGGAAAGATATGGTGTTAACTGACCATATCGGAAATGGGTAATGATATTTAAAAAAAAGATCCAATGACAAAAATTCGCATATTTTATAAAATATCTTAACAGTTTTTCGATTTTGTACATTTGTGCTTCGTGAAGTGGTTGTGTATTAGTCCAAGTTGACAAGCCAGTACTCATGGTATTGAGCCTTATTCATTATCAAATAATATTTGTTTTTATATAACTGGTATGAGGCTTTTCAAAATACGTTCAGTCTGTAACATTCAAAGTTTGTTTAGATAAATTAACATATAAGAGTTTTAATAATATTTGTCTATGTACATCATGAGGGAATGTACTGTGGTTGTTTTGCCAAATGTAGGAATACCTGCTGCGCCCGATAAAAAACATACCGACAAGAATCCGATGTTTTAACCTTTGACATGGTCAGTTAAACCCCGAGGCGCGGACGATCCAGCGATTTCACTTGAAGATAAGAGAATTGTGACGTCATTGCAATAAGATGACACATGGGCGCCGTATCTATTATCATCCCCCACAACGAAGTGAGGCAGTGGATATAGGAACGGAGTTCGTCCGTCCGCCCGCCCGTCCGGTTCTCAACTGGGGAAAATTTTCTTAGAACCATTTCACTCAGAGAAATGAAATTATAAACAATTGGGTTACGGGTCATGAACGGCTTAGTAAATTGTTTGATGGCACTTCTTAGAAACTGAGGGATGACAAAGTAGACACAATTTATGGATAACAACTTGCCCCATCCACACTAAAATAAAGAAGTTGTTGTCCACATATTGTGTCTACTTTGTTAATGGGGAGTGTCTGCAAAGGGGTCGAGTTCTCAGAAACTACTCAAGCTGTTTATCTAAGATATAATTATCAATACTGAGTTATTTTTTTCAGGGAAGGGGACCTTTTGTGTATTAATTTCATTTAATTATTTTGTGTTTATTTACTACTATATGAACTAACAAAATTCTATTATGCCCCCTGGCAAGAGGTGGTGATATTGTTGTTCTCTTGTTAATCTATCATTATATTTCCTACACACCGCTCGGCTAATGACAATAATTGTGCATTCCATTTTACCCTTTTTCAAATGTTAGTGTATAAATCGGGAATATGCGTCTCGAACCTCTTAAAGCGGAATATTATTACTCCATAACGCTCGTCTCGATAAGGCTGAAATATTGCCTATGTGACGTAAAGCATTAACTCACTCACTTACTCCATAACGCTAGACATCCAGCCTATCCCCAAAGTTTCCAGATAACTCGAGCATCTTAATATACTTACTAACTTCCTCACCACTACTTACATTTAATAGTACTACATTCCTGACAACTAATCATTATCCAAATACAAAGCAATGAACTTCTACTGAATCTCAACAGAAACAATGAAATTCAGTTACAATCATTGTTTAATTATCAATTGCACTACCAGATAACACTCACAGGAGTCTGCTTTTTGGGTTTTTTTAAAACATTTCTCGCTTAGACATACGAGCAAAGGTAAAACGAGAAGCGACCATGTCCACGCTAAAAGGGAAGTTGGCGATAACTGGTCGCCAGATACCATACGGTCACTTTGATGTGTAAAGCAATATTGTCATGCACCTCAGTGTTGCGGTTGTAGGATGTCTATATAATTATGTAAATCAATATGTAAGGCTTGCATTGACCCGGTTCTTCTCATTTCAGAATAAGTGCGTTTGCTTACAAACAAAAATCTGCTGATATAAGCCTACACCCGTAGGGTGATCGTTGTGACCTCTCATGGACTGTTATGGATGAACAAAACCTTCCAAATGGCGTGCTGGTTTTCTTGGGGAATTAGTCAGCAAAGGGCCGGAGTCACAGGAGACTAATCACAAGTTTATTTACAAGAACAATTAACAATTTACAATATCTTAGAAAATAGCTGAGGGTGCCACAGAGAGTCGGTACAACCCTCTGGGCTGTGGGAGAGAGGTCTGCTTGGTAAGAGAGTCAACCCCCTTCTTGCCCTAACATGTGGTTTCTGTATGTATTTAACAAAAAATAGAACAATAAAATGGAATTTGATTGGTTGATACACGATGGGTTGTGCCCTATGCTAAATGAATGGCTAGACAGAGGGGAATACTTAATCATGTTAATCCTGTTGGTCTGGCACTAATCTTGTTGACATATTTACTGGATGCTTTGAAAGAGATTATGGTGTCACTATAGACGAGCTTGTGTTGGGGCTAATCCTTAATGCACTATAGACGAGCTTGTATGGGGGCTAATCCTTAATGCACTATAGACGAGCTTGTATGAGGGCTAATCCTTAATGAGTCTAAATTGAAGTAATTGCTGAATGTTATTCTAATATAGGTGATGACAGATTTACTTAAATAAAATAGTTCAAGGTAATCTATAAGACTATGTGGACATATCTTTTGTCTGGGAGATGGGATATTGATACCTTAGGCTAGCATTTATCTAAAAGCTTCAAATCTATTAAACTATGTAGACATAACCCTTGTCTTATTGAATAGTATGTCTAGGAGTTGCGCTCCCATTTCCTTAGGCTAGCATCTATCTAAAAAGCTATAACTGAAACTACTGATATTTTATATATGCGTTTTACCTGATGATAAGTATTACTTGCTAAACTATAATTATATGAAATGATGTATAAATATTACATCATGATAAGTCATAAAAGCACGTGATGTGGATCTAATTATTATAGGATAACTTAGTATAAATGTTATATCATGATAGACCACTGGAGCAGAAACTCCTCTCGCGGAATAAGCCAAGTACACCCGAGTAAGTTCAGGCGTTATCGACTATTGTTTACAAACAATGCTTCAGAACAGTCCAAGTACTGGACCTCTATATTTTCTGCTGTTATTCGTCATTCTGTAATAAACAAGAATACTGAAACTAGTTTCGTTTCGTTTCGTTTTAGTTCAGTCATCTACGCCGAGTTGGAGTCTTATGTTAGAATACACACTGTCCCATTCGTTCTCAAATTCAACCAGACATTGAAGAGTGTTACAATGAGGTATACAAACAAGCATAACAACGTGGACACTTACTTACTGTGTTGTATGAAGGAGAAATGTGTGGACGAAACCAGAGTCAAGACCCTCTGCAAGGAAGCTGGAAAAACCCGTGCTAAATATAACTTTTTATAAGCTCCTCACACTCGTGTAGGATAGCAGAAGCAAGCTCCACCGCAGCGCCAGCATACCTCGCTAAGTAACACAAGCGCCACCTGACGGCAAGGCGAAAACTGGTTCTCCAGGTGGTACGCGACGCAAGCTCAGGCAGATTAAGCTGGCCCCCGTCTCCAATATCACAATTGCAAGTTGACGACGCGCATAGGGAGCCGGGTACCAGCTTACAGGCAGATTGGCTTGTACTTTGGCCAATTCCACGTACGAGTCACAAACCTAAATAACCCCCTAAAAAAAATTAAAAAAACACTACAGGTAACTGCCCACACTGCAAACAACTAGAAACCCCAGAACACGCATTCATCCACTGCACACACTACCTAACATATCGACCCGCATTACAAGCCACCCTCAATCTAAACAAGGCTCTCACTCTTAGAAGCAATACTAAACCCACAAAATAAACTAGAAAACTTCAAGGCCTTAGGCGTATTCTTAATCAAAACTAAAACTAATAAAACGCATCTAAAAACACAATAACCTACCAAATCAAAATCACATAAACAAACAAACATCCACCATACCCAGCTCCCTTAGTTCTCCTCCCCAACCCCATCGGCATCTATTCCAAAGCTCAAAATTCCCAAATTCTATATAAGCAACCCCAAAAGCCCCCGTTTGGGTTGCACAGACCACTTTCGCCCCTTTCGGAAACACATTAAATGGCCTGGCCGGGCCCGTGTGCGAAATACGCATCAGTCGGAAAGCGCACGTTAAATCTCCAAAGTAAGTAAGTAAGTAAGTAAGTAAGTAAGTAAGTAAGTAAGTAAGTAAGTAAGTAAGTAAGTAAGTACGAGTCTTTTTCCAGTCATTGGACGTAGCTCAGTGTGGTTTAACATGAAGCGGTGAGAAATGAATACAAATCCGTGTAATGAATAGGGGTACCAGCTCTATTAGCTTTCTATTAGCACCAGATATAAAACGGGTTTTTCTTCTTATGTAGGAAAGCGCACGTTAACTGTCCAATGGTAAGTAAGTTATGCATACTTGTTTTGATCTCATAACATGTCATAGTGTCCATTCTGTAGACACCGGAATAGTGTGTATGCACTACACCGTGTAGGTTTAGGACTGTCATTATCGTTGTACATGTATCTTCATAAATCCTTCAGTTTCAAGGGGTTTTTTCAGGCATGAGATCTTGGAAAGATATGGTGTTAACTGACCATTTCGGAAATGGGTTATGATATTTAAAAAAAAGATCCAATGACAAAAATTCGCATATTTTATAAAATATCTTAACAGTTTTTCGATTTTGTACATTTGTGCTTCGTGAAGTGGTTGTGTATTAGTCAAAGTTGGCAAGCCAGTACTCATGGTATTGAGCCTTATTCATTATCAAATAATATTTGTTTTTATATAACTGGTATGAGGCTTTTCAAAATACGTTCAGTCTGTAACATTCAAAGTTTGTTTAGATAAATTAACATATAAGAGTTTTAATAATATTTGTCTATGTACATCATGAGGGAATGTACTGTGGGTGTTTTGCTAAATATATGAATAACTGCTACGCCCGATAAAAAACATACCGACAAGAATCCGATGTTTTAACCTTTGGCATGGTCAGTTAAACCCCGAGGGAGGTGATGCAGCGATTTCAGCGTCCGTCCGTTCTCAAAGGGGACAATTTTCTCTAGGCTATTTAAATCAGAGAAATGATATTGTACAGACTTAGATTACGGGTCATGAACTCAAATGTGTTCGAGAATTGTGCCCTCCATTTTACCCTTTTTCATATTTTAGTTTATAAAATCGTGAATATGCATCTCGAACCACTTAAAGGGCGGATTATTCTACTCCTTCACTCCATCTCTGAGAAATGTGTAAAGAAGTAACAGTTAAGGCAGATTCGTGATATGTGAACAAGCAAGACACATTCGTACAAACACGCTATTTCCCTCTTAGGCCATAGGGTCGAGGTCAGATCAGTGCCTCTTACATCCTGGTTCAGGCAGATGGATTGCATTTAATCCTGTCTCTCCCATCACAGTAACCCGTACACCCGTCTCTACCATCACTGTTACCCGTACTCCCGTCTCTACAATCACTGTTACCCGTACTCCCGTCTTCACCATCACAGTAACCCGTACTCCCGTCTCTCCCATCACTGTAACCCGTACTCCCGTCTCTACCATCACTGTAACCCGTACTCCCGTCTCTCCCATCACTGTAACCCGTACTCCCGTCTCTCCCATCACTGTAACCCGTACTCCCGTCTCTACCATCACTGTAACCCGTACTCCCGTCTCTCCCATCACTGTAACCCGTACTCCCGTCTTCACCATCACTGTAACCCGTATTCCCGTCTCCACCATCACAGTAACCCGTACTCCCGTCTCTACCATCACAGTAACCCGTACTCTCGTCTCTACCATCACTGTTACCCGTACTCCCGTCTCCACCATCACTGTTACCCGTACTCCCGACTCTACCATCACTGTAACCCGTACTCCCGTCTCTACCATCACAGTAACCCGTACTCTCGTCTCTACCATCACTGTTACCCGTACTCCCGTCTCTACCATCACTGTTACCCGTACTCCCGACTCTACCATCACTGTAACCGTACTCCCGTCTCTACCATCACAGTAACCCGTACTCTCGTCTCTCCCATCACAGTAACCCGTACTCCCGTCTCTACCATCACTGTTACCCGTACTTCCCTCTCTACCATCACTGTTACCCGTACTCCCGTCTCTACCATCACTGTAGCCCTTACTCCCGTCTCTTACTGCCATACTTTTCGACCCCTGAATATCCGAGTGGAGAATACGTCTTCAGCAACCCATGCGTGTCGTAAGAGGCGACTAAGGAGATGGGAAGGTCAGACTAGCTGACATGCATGTTGACACATGTGATTCGAAGCTCATGATGTCAATCATTTGATTTTCTTGTCCAGACTCGATTAGTTACAGACCACCGTCATATATCTGGAATAAGTGCGGCGTTAAAAAACAAACAAAAACATACGTTGCACTATTCCTTCCCATGTAGCTGGTCCTTTCCATCCTTAATTATAATGGACAGGTAATTATGTAAAAACAGGTACCAGAGAATTAGCCTGCCCTATAACATTATGAAGATCATTATCCCATTGATCTGATATTTTGTGTTTCCCATCGAATGCTGGTATTTTCACAAGAATTCCACCTTTTAGGACTGTGCCTCTAGTTTTGGGATCAAAATGCCGTTTCTGTTTGGTTCTAGCATGTCTGGATAAAGCTGATGCCAAGTTATACGCATCATTCAGTTTCTTTCTCATGGATTCAACATAGGAGGTCAGCTTTTGTCCAGCATCTCTTTCCCAACAATACTCCAAATCAACAGGCTGCTGCTGTTGCCTTCCACAGAGTAGGGGAAAGGAGACTCCTTCGTCGACTCATGGCGAGTTCTGTTGTAAGCATGAACCAGAGGAGAAAAATCAGGTTTCCAATCTGCTTTCTTATCTGGTTCAAGTGTACCCAACATGTCTAAAGTCTAAATTGTGATGAACCATTCCACATCCCATTTCCTTAGGGATGATAGACGGTGGTTCCAAGCAAATAGCATAATTCCTTTATCAATCTCCCATAAAAATGTGCTACCTCGTCAGAATGGATTCGCTCAGGAATACAATCGTGAACACTGAAATGAAACCTTGCCTGAAGCTTTACAGAATTGGTGCCACTTGAATGTTATCTTGACTCTGTTACTCTTTCCAATCCCTTGTCTATGCCCATGCATGCCAGAATGTCCCAGACGTGGCGGCGGACCAACATCTTCACAAACTGTTTGGTAATCTGGATATAACGTGTGCATCTGCATAGGGCACACCTGATCTGTATTTAAGATCAAAGTTGTATGTTGCCAATGAGGTCAGCCAACGATGTCTGGTAGCATCTAATCGGGCTGATGTCAAAGCATAAGTCAAGGGTTTGTTGTTAGTCATGACTGTAAACTGGTGTCAATATAGATAGTCAAGGCTTATGTCTGTAACGGACCATTTCAGGGCGAGAAATTCGAACTAATAGGCTGGATAGTTTTGTTTTACTTTATTCAGACTCCGACTGGCAAAGGATATCACTTTTAGACTTCCATTTAGCCGTTGTTTTAGAACTGCTCCTAAACCATTTCTACAAGCATCAGTGTGCAATTCAAAAGGTTCAGAACAGTCTGGATACCCCCAAACTGGTGATGATGTGAGAACCAATTTCAGCTTATCAAGAGCAAAGCTTTGATCAGGACCCCATTGCAACTTTGTCACCTTTCTACCAGAACTTTCTCTCTTGCTTTCTTTCACCGAGCTGTTGGTGATAAGAGATTAGTAAGGGGCTTAGCAATGCCAGCAAACTTTGGAACAAATTCTTGGTAATAACCGAGACAACTCTTCAGTTCATCACTGTCCTTTGGAGCAGGCCAGTTAAGTATCTTTTCAACTTTGTCTGGATCAACCGGTATTTCTTCTGAAAAATAATATGACCAACATATTTCACCTCATCCTGGAGTCGACTACATTTCTTGGGAACAAGTTTCAATTCACTTTCCCTCGAACATTGGAAAACGAGTCTAAGTCGTGATGAGTGTTCCTCCATGCAAAGTCTATCAGATCATCTAAATATATCATACGGATTTAAAAATGGAGATCACTACAAATCTGTTCAATTTCCATTTGGTACGTAGCAGGAACATAAACTAAATCAAATGTGAGCCTGTTAAATTCATAGAACCCTGAAGGTCCTGCTGTGAAATCTGTGAAACGTTTATGACTTTCATCAACTCCAATCTGATGATATCCAGATTTCATTTCAAGGATACTGTTGACCTGAGACCCTACTACACAATCAAGGATTTCCTCCACTCTCAGGAGCGCATAAGATTCTCGAACTGTCTGACGATACAAAGATAATAATACACACAAACTGTATGGGGAGAGTCTCTTTTGCGAACTAAAACCATGTTCGAAG